TATTTCATAGAATAGTTCGATTAATGTGCATTGCATATAGCATTGAATTATTTGCAAAATTCGCACCATTATTCAACAGCATTTCCTATTTTCTAATACGAGGGTGGATCATATGACCTAGACTTTTGTAATCATGATATTTTTTGTTGTCAGTTACGTAACGAATGTCCACAGTTTATAGTAGTGTTTATTCTCAATCAGAGTTGCACTTTCCGGGAGTTCATATTGTTAATTTGACAATGAATAAACAAGATGTACACATTTCAGTTACGCAACGCATTGTTATACTTTTTTTGTGAATGAGTGTGTGAAACCAGAAATTTTGAAGCGATTGCGTGGTCAATTTAGTGGTGAGACCCTTTCAAAGTCTGAAGTCTACAAGCGGTACACGTTGTTAAGTGGCGGCCACAAAAACTTTTCTAACTTCACTCATGCTCACCGTTCATGGGCAAGCCTTATGTTGGACAACATTCAGAAAGTGGAAGACGTAATCGTGATGTCAGGCGAAAAACTGTTCGTGATATGTGTAAAATAAGTTTGTTATCATATGGAAGTGTGCAAACAATAAAGTGTGAAAGCACTTAAAATATCGGAAAAACCGTACGAGGTGGATACCGAAACATTTGAATGCAAATCAGAAGACTGCTAGGATTGAGGTTTTAAAAGATGTAGATCGTTATGGGGCAGAAGGAGACTCATTTTTAAGACATATTCTCACACGTGATGAAACGTGGGTGCACACACTCCTGAAACGAAGAAATCCAGTATGCAACGACGATCAAAACAACGACCAGTCAAAGCAACGATTCGTTTGTCTGCACGTACAGTATAATGACTGACTTCTGGGATAGCAAAGCTGTGGTTTACGTTGATTTCCTGCACGAGCAACGAACAGATAATGCAATTTACTATTGCGAGCCCTTGAGAACGGTTAAATATGCCTATCAGTCGAAAAGACGCAGGAATTCAATACCAAGTGTTCTCCTCCTTCATGACAATGCAAGCAATACTGCAGCTGTTAATCAACCATTACTGAAGAAATTACACTAGACAGTGTTGGAATCTTGCCCCCTATAGCCCATATTTGGCACCTTCGGATCACCATCTTTTAGACTTAAGGAGGACTTGGTTGGCGGGAAATCTTCCCCTAATGTAGAAGTGGAATACTTCATGTGCAAATGGTTCGATTAAATAAGGTCACACATCAACAAAACTTTTTTTGAAAACGGAATTATAAAACTACCAATAAGGTGGCAAAATGTGTAAATTATGATGAAAGCTATATAGAAAGATAGTCTGCAAAATTTTTTTGATTTTCTAATATTCCTTTTTTTTCAACAGTCTCGTTCGTATTTGAACCACCTAATATTTAAAGAATGACGTGAGACAGTGCTATTTGAAGATGAAATAAGTTTGACAAAACTTGGTCAGGTTACAAGAAGGGTGGTTTTTTTTAAAAATGATTTGTATTGAGATAAAGACCGATTGTAGCAAATCTATAAAGCAATTTGCCCTTTTACTAGTTCAACTCAATGTCTTGCAAATTTAAGCAGATTTTTGTCGTATTCACGGATAGAACGGATTCACTCATAGAATACATTTTGTCTTTTTATTTAATTTGAAAATATTTCATTGTGAGGAATAAAGGGTTACTTGCTTTTGGAGAGAAACCTGATGTCCTTGTAAATCGTAATTATTACAGTTTTTCATATAATTGCATTTATTCTTGTATAAAATATAAATAATATAAATAAATATTTTTTACATTTTATTTGCATATCTACTGTACATTTCAGTCAAAATGATCTCCACGAACATCACATTGGAGAAAATAGATGTACATATTTAACTAATAAATAAATTATTTTCAGTAGAATAGAACTGAATCTGCACAAAACAGATCGAGACTCTGAGGGTTTCTTCAAAGAAGATACTTGATTATTTCTCACGAAATAAGAGTATTAGAGCAGTGCACCAGGCGTGATCGTAAGGATTTTATTTGAATCCTCATCGTAAATAATTAACGACAGTTTTTCTCAGAAGACATTTGTCAAGCTATAAATATTATTTATCCGAAGAATAATCATATCCAATTTATCCAAAAAAACAACTTTTAAGCATATTTTGACAATATACTTCATTACTTTTTGTTCTAGTGAAACATGTCAAAACATGCCAGGACGAAATAATGCAATATTTACCCAAAGGAAATTAAAACAATGTCATCAAGAACAACGTATAATTTAGATAATTTCCAACACGTTTTGACAATTCTTTTGGCGGCTACTCTCTCATTCTACTGAACAACGCCACAGCATCAGAGATCACCATCCAGAGAACGCCAGCAAGCCGTTGATCGTCATGGGGAAGAGTGTGTGCTACTCCTCGTCGATGGAGACGTCTTCACCCGACGTCTGGGCGACGCACTCGGAGAGCGCGGCCGGCACGCAGGAGCGGCGTCGGGCGCTGAACTCGAGCCCCTCGGGGCACTGCCCCACGAACTGGCGGTGGCCCCAGAAGAGCTTGAAGCACACGTGGTAGCGCGTGCAGCTGCGCGCGACCGGGAAGCGGCCGGCGCCCGGGCACACGAAGTCCTCCTCGGCGTCGCCGTCGGGCTCGCGCAGGCCTGCCAACGAGAGCGCAACCACGTCACGTAAATAGGAACAAACGGCACTTTTATTTATTTATACCCCTACATTTTTTGTGGTCGTGAATTGGAAACTTGGGATGACGGGGACGTACACCTGGACTTACCGAGGTTCAATTACATTTTCCCCTGGCAAGTGTAGGTGACTCATTTTTTGGGGGGAGGGGGGAAGCATTCATAAGCTGAATTCAATTTGTATCCCCCAGGGTTGCTAGTCCTTGGGGTATGGGATGATTATGATAAGGAAGGACGACACAAACTTACACATACAATACACACTTATGCTCGAGAAGGAAATCGAACATGCGATCCTTCCGTCCTAGATCGCCAGGGCACACCACTGCCTTAGCGATCTCGGTTGTCCGGGTCGGTTGTTCACTTGTTTTAATTGAAAATAATAGATTCTTAATTCGAAACGCAAGTTCAAAAGAAGACGAATTATGAGATGAAGCAGTATTTTATCACGTATAGTTTCAACCCCTAGTCGCATTAGCAATATTTTGTTAGCATAGTGGTGTTGAATATCAGGCACCGTCGGAACCAAAAATCCGCCTCGATCGCAGTATCTGCAGAGACAGCGGCAACGTAGACTCTGAGCTACGTTGAGCCGTCGCGGGCCGGCCGGGCACACCCACCTTGCGCGCTCGCTCGTTGGGCGAGGCGGTTCTTGGCGGCGTCCAGCACGTGGTCGGGCACCTCGGCGCTGACGGTGTCCATCGAGCGGCTCGCGCGCCGGCGCCCTGAGTCGTCGGCGAGGTCGGCGGCGCGGGCGCGCCGGGCACGGCGCGGCGCGCTGCGCGGCGCTCCGTCACCGCTGCGCCGCAGCGCTCCAGCACCTCGCGCGCGCTCGTCGGAAGATCTTGGCCCCGCGAGGGGGGGGGGAGCGCATCTGGCGCGCGCTCGGCGGCGCTCGCCGCGCGTTGGCGGCGATAGCAGCTGGCCGCGAGGAAAGCGCGCTTCGGCGGCGGCGCCGGCCACCTACGATTCCCAGAGCGGAAATGTAATTAGTTTCTAGTTAGTTTATTTAAGATACCACCCTAGCGATCTGCACAAGCTTCATCGGCTGCAGGAAAATATGTATCCGCAACGTAAATAAATTCCCGCCTCTCCAGGGTAACTGGGAAGGGGAAAATGAAAAAAAAAACTTACCAACTTTGGGGCACAGATGGTGCATTGAGGAATATGATCAATGTAAAGTGTGTTGTCCAACTGAACGCGATCTATCATATTTACTGTTTTAGCACGCCATTTGTCGTGGAAACTGCATATGTGTATATGAATGATATGAATATACACGAACTTGATTGGCTATAAAATAGTTTATCATTTATAATATATCAGGAATTTTATATTCGGAAAATTATAAAAAATTACGTTAGCGCATATATATAATCATTATAATAAACTCGTATTGTATTGCATAAATACTATATAGATATATTGTAATTCGTAATACATGTCTTACCACGTTTGCTGAGATTTTATGAATTATACGTTTTGACGTTATTTTGTCATCCATGTTCGTGTACATATTGCATTGAAAAAAGTTTTAAATATTCAAAGTCAAGAGAGTGCGTGTAGTGCCTCGTGTTGTGACGAAACATTTCAATATTATTGATTTGTAAGTACACCGCTAGATCATAATGAATGCACCATAACCCGTTGTAGTGTAAGTAACGCACTTGCTCCGCTCGGTAAAACAACCAATGATGCTGCTTTTCGTGACTTACCTCCTCGCGTTGCTCAGCAGCTCTCTGCGCGACCTCGGCTGCGCGCTGCGCCGCCTGGGCTCTGGCTTCTTCCGCGGCCTTCTGCGCCTTCTGCCTGGCTTCGTCCGCCTTTCTGGCGGCTTCTGCCTTGGCTTCTTCTATCTTCCTCGCCGCTTCCTCCGCTCTCCGGGCGGCTTCTTGTCGCAGTTCTTCCGCCCTCCTGGCGGCCTCCTCTCTGGCTTCTTGCGCCTTTCTGGCTGCTTCGGCTCGGCGCTCTTCGGCTTTCCTAGCGGCCTCTTGGCGAGCTTCATCTGCCTTTCTGGCGGCTTCCTGTGCCTTCCTGGCGGCCTCTTCGCGCGCTTCCTGAAGCTTCCGGGCGGCTTTGAGTCTGGCTTCTTCGGCTTTTCGCGCGGCTTCTGCCCGTCGTTCTTCGGCTTTCCGGGCGGCTTCTTCGGCTTTTCTGGCGGCTTTGGCTCGCCTCTCCTCGGCTTCTCGGGCGGCTTCCGCCCGCTCCTCCTCCGCCTCCCTCAGAGCCTCCTGGCGCTCCTCCTCCGCCTCCCTGGCCGCTTCTTCCGCGCGTTCCTTGGCTTCTTGCTGTCTCCTGAGCGCTAGTGCGCGTGCGGCTTGCGCCCTCTGAAGAGCTAGTTGTCTCGCCTGCGCCGCTCTTTGCAGAGCGATCCGCCGGGCCTCTTCGGCTCGTCGGAGGCCTTCTTCCCGCCGTTGCTGGGCCGCGAGCAGGGCTTGTGCTCTTTCTTCTTCGGCTCGCTGTGCGGCTTCCGCCGCTCTCTGTTTCGCTATTTGCGCCCATCGCAGAGCCTGTGCTCGGCGTTCTTCAGCTTGTCTTTGAGCGAGTTCTCTGGCCTCTTGTGCTTTTCTGAGTGCTAACTCGCGCGATTCTTGTGCCCTCTGGAGACCCGCTGCTTTAGCTTCTAGAGCCCTCTGGAGGCCAATATCTTGGGTCTCTTGTGCCCTCTGGAGACCGGCAGCATTTGCTTCAATTGCTCTGTGGATGCCTGTAGCTTGAGAGGCTTGGGCTTGCTGTGCTCTCTGGAGTTCGGCTGCTCTAGCTTCTTGTGCTCTCTGAATACCGGCAGCCTGTGCTTCTTGTGCCCTTTGCAGTCCAAATGCTCTCGCTTCTTGTGCTCTCTGAATGCCGGCAATTTGGGATAGTTGTGGCCACTGGACGCCAGCAACTTGAGCTTGTTGAGCACTCTGGATTCCAGCTGCTTGAGCTTCTTGTGCTCTCTGTATGCCAACTGCTTGGGCTACTTGTGCCCTCTGGAGTCCAGATGCTCTCGCTTCTTGTGCTCTCTGGATGCCGGCTGCTTGGAATTGTTGCGCCCACTGGACGCCAGCTCCTTGAGCTTGTTGAGCTCTCTGAATTGCAGCTGCTTGAGCTACTTGTGCCCTCTGGATACCAGCTGCTTGGGCTTCTTGTGCTCTCTGAATTCCAGAGGCTTCAGCACCTTGTGCAATCTGAATGCCTTCAGTCTGAATTACCTGTGAACTCTGGGAGGCGGCAACTTGAGCTACTTGTGCGCTCTGAATACCAGCTGCTTGAGATGCTTGTGCGCTCTGAATACCAGCTGCTTGAGATGCTTGTGCTCTCTGGATGCCAGCAGCTTGGGCTGCTTGTGCTCTCTGAATTCCAGCAACTTGCGCTTCTTGAGCAGTTTGGATGACTTGTGTTCCTACCGATCCCTGTTTCAAAGCTAGCTCTCGCGCTGCCTGTGCTCTTTGCAGACCGGCAAATCTGGCAATCTGGGCTCTCTGTAGGCCCGCTACTTGGGCTTCTTGGGCGGTTTGCTGCGTTCCAACACCAACGGGCGCAGCTCCAACTTCTTCGACGACAACCGATTGTGCCTGTTCGGCGGTCTGTTGTTGCTCCAGCGCCTGTTGAGAAGCAACGATAGTTGATGATGCTTGGTTCGATGCCTGGTTCTGTGCGTCTACTACCCCCTGTACCGCCTGAGCAATGGAGGACTGACCAGCTTGCCACTGTTGCCAGCTCGCCTGGTCGGCAGCAACAATTCCTTGTGAACTCGCTGCTTGAGCAGCCTGGGCTGCTTGGGCCTTCACAGCGGCCACCGCAGACAGTTTGGCGTTGACGGCATTTCGTACAGTGGGAGAAGCTCCGGCTGCTGGTGCAGGAGCTGGATTTGTCGCAATTGGTAGGGTGACTTCAGAAGCGGTGGGGGAAGGAACCGACAACACTGCAGAAGGCAGAGAGGGAGCTGGTTCGACAGAAGCGGCTTCATTGGCTGATGAGAAAGAGGGTAGAGAAAATGGAATGTATGAAGCAATAGCAGGCAACACATTGGCAAAACTAGCAAAAATTCCTCCAGAATTCTCTCCTGCCGTAGTAGGAGCAGCAGGGGATTGTACAGGCTCACCAGAAACAGGGGTTTGAGCTGCAGAGTTGGCGACCGACTTAGTACCTATAACTTCAGAGGAAATGGCAGCTGCAGACGTTGGTGAAGAACCGATTGGCCCAGGTGAAGATACAGCATTGACTGATGCAGATAATGCGGCATCAGATGGTGCAGAGACATCAGCTGAAGACAATACTACTGTACCGACTGGTACAGACACGGCAGGTGGAGAAACGGATAGACCGTCGGATTGTCCGAGAGTAACCGTTGCGTCTGCAGATGCAGAGGCAACAGCGGCATTATCTGGTGAAGAAGCAACTGGCGCGCTAACTGGTGCAGATGTGCCAAGTTGTGCAGAGGCATCAGCTGGTGCAGACGCAACACCCGCGATAGCTGAAGAAGAGGGGCCTCCGACTGCTGGTGAAGATGGTATAGCGGCATCAGCGGCTGCCGAGGCACCAGCTCCGTTAGCAGGTCCAGAGGCAGCAGCGGCGTCAGCGGGAGCAGAGGCAACAGCGGGTTCGGATGGTGCAGAGGCAACAGGTATAGAGGCAGAGGCATCGTCGGCTGATGCAGAGGCAACTGCGGCATTAGATGGTGCAGAGTCAGCTGCTGAAGAGGGGATAGCGACGTCATTAGGTGCAGGAAAAGCAGCAGCTTGAGTTGGTGCAGAAGCGGAGGCTGCAGGAGAAGAAGCTACAGTGGCGTCAGGTGCTAATGAGACGGCAGCGGCGTCCGCTGATGCAGAGACAGCAGCGACATCCGCTGGGGCAGAGGCAGCAGAGGCATCCACTGGTGCTGCTACAGAGATGTCAGCGGCTGAAGAGGCTACCACCACGTCCGCAGGTGCGGAGACAGCGGCGGCGTCAGCGGGTGCAGAGACAGCAGCGGTGACAGATGGTGGAGAAGAAGCCGCGGCGTTAGCTGGTGCAGATGAAGCTACAGAGGCTTCAGCTGCTGAAGAGGGAACCACCACATCCGCAGGTGCAGAAGCAGCAGCAGGGTCAGCGGGTGCAGAGGTAGCAGCAGGGTCGGCGGGTGCAGAGACAGACGCGGCGTCAGCGAAGGTAGAGCCTGCAGCGAGTTCTGCTGGCGAAGAAGCTATAGCGGCATCCGCGGGTGCAGAGGCAGCAGCGGCGCCGGTGGGCGTAGAGACAGGAGCGGTGTCAGCAGGTGCAGAGGCAGCAGTTGCTTCACCAGGTGCAGGGCCAGCGGCGGCTTGAGCTGGTGAAGAAGCTACAGAAG